AATGGGCGAAATTCCGGAAAAAAAAAGGTAGGAAGTTATGGTGAATCTGAGAATGTGGTCGGTATTATGGGAGAAGTGAGGGGACTCGTCCCCTTCGCGGTCCCCCCCCCCTCCCTCCCCCGCTTGACAGCTCGATCAGGAGTGGGAATCAAGAGGGGAGTCGTATCAACTTCCTGAAAAGGGGTGGTTGTATGGACTCGTTTAAAATCCCCAACCAATGATGTGCAGTGGTAGCGAAGCGATCTGCTGCCAATCCATCATTTTCGAGGTTGGAAGCCTCGCGGTTGATTCTGCCAGACTGCTGCTCATTTTGTATTATTGCATCTTCCACGGCATTCTGCTGAACAAGAGGTACGAGTGCCAAGAATACTAACCAGACCACCAGTATGTATAGTTAATCGTAACAAAAAATGCCCACAAGTCGACTGCAGGCGAATACAGTGCTACCTGACCGCTTGTTCAGAGCTTACATTCCATTGATCACAAATTTTATCTCTGATATGGGTATCTTTATCTCTAACACTTGGTGATATGGGCCCCAAATTCGATGGAAATGTCGCTTGACTGAAATTATGTTGGATGAACGACACGACTAGCCTTTGAGCTACTTCTAAGCAAAAATGTCGTATGCTGCCAACTGCTTTGCGGATTTTGATGGATACTCGGTGTTTTAAGTAACTTATTTCGCGAAATAATAACCGCTTTAATGAACGGTTGTGCTAGTTCCAGTGTGCCTACAAAGATGAAGCGCTGAATCTCACGATGTGGATAAGAACGAAAAGTCTGAGCTTGAAGACTTTGAGCACGAACACCTGGCTTTATCAGTAAGAAGACCTCTTGGTGCAATCGTTTTTTTATACCAGTAGCCTACAATAACTACCTCTGATGTATACTCCTCATCATTACGGACTGTCGGGGCGGGTCAGTGCGGCTGCGTTTTCCGCGGTTCCAAAGTCTTTCTGCACCAGTTGTTGAAGCGAGCAAATGACATGACAGCATTATATCCTTCGTATTACTCGTTTTCTACCACTTTTTGTCGCATACGCGTTTCAAAAAAAGGCTGAGAACGGCTTCAACAGTGTGCACACTCATACTGGCTGACACGCCCCACCGGTCCGCAATGATGAGGACTGTACCACCTTCCCCCACCTCTACCGATGCCGATACGCCCCGACAGTCCGTAATGAAGAGGAGTGTATGTGTCGAATGCTCTGTTGTACTCCAATGGATAGAAGAAGTCACCGGTTGTTTCCAGCTGGACGTAGAACAGGCTTCTAACTGTTGTGCAAGGTGAATGGATGATCGCAGGCCTCAGACTTTGATGTGAATAAAAACTCTTCTGCGACCTCATAATTTCCTTGAAAACCTTTACGCAGTGCTCGCTCATTATTCACACATTCTCAAGTGGGGATATCTTGTTGACGTCATCCCGAATGGGCACAAACAAAGACCGTCTCGGATTTCACGTGGACTATCGTGACCAGATACTCACCATTTCTGTCAAGTACCTCTCTTCACTAGCGGCCAATCGAAGACCCAATCATACCTTTCAGGAAGAGCTAAAGGTGGGAAATCGCATGGGAACTACTGTAACCTTTTTCTTCGATCCCGGAAGACCTTATTCTAACAACCTGTGAACAGTTCGCTGTACGGAAAGGGCATGGAAATAGCTCGCAAGAGCTACCTTCGAGCTTATCGCGGATGGACTCACTATCAGAAATCTCTGGAGCGACTGCTGTGCGATCTTCTGTTAGAGTGGGGCACAACTATAAGTGACTGCGCCACTGCGCAGCAAAATCCTAAGTGGTTACATCTAATCAAGTTATACGACACCACTCCACACCACACCGCTCGGTGTGAATCTTCCTACAGATGAACATTCTAGACAGATCAAACTTTCTGGGCGCAGTTTATCGACGGGGGGGGCATTTTGCTTTCCATAGATGTGTCGACCCATCTAGGTAGCGTTTTCTTGAGTTGACACGTTTTGGGATGGTGGCTAGACGATCCTGCTCCAGCTTTACAAGAGTTCACAAGTTTTACCAAAGTGAGATTTGCAAACCGGAACAAGGGAAGCAGTGATAGTACAAAATGCCCCCCCGTCGATAAACAGCGCCAACTTTCTGTACCACCAAAAACCCCTCTACCAACTAAGGTTGCAAGGGCAACTGGAAGTGCCGCTGTTCGGATATTTCCGCCAATATGTATAATAAAGCCCAACCGTAAATGCATTCGTCCAACACCAGAAAGACAAAGAAATATTGTAAGCAAAAAAAGAAATGACAAAAGGTCGTACAGAAGACGATAAAAGGCATCGAATAGGCGACGCTAGTCATGCCGTATCCAAGCAGTAACAGCAGTCCGATGGCAGAAGCGATGGCCATTGCGGCAGAAACGACGCCGCCAACCGCAAGCCTGAAAGGTTAATGATTCTGTTAAAGTGGACAGACTAAGGAGAAGAAACATACCAAGGTCGCGATCGCCTCCATGAACACACGCAACACATCGCTATTGTGAAAAGCGACACTGCGACGAAGCATGGACCAAGCATGCTAAAGAAAATTCAAAATCTTGCACTCGAAAAAGTAGAATGTTCTGTAATACTATGGTAAGGAGATATTTATG